TTTTTTTTTTTTTTTTTTTTTTGGCGCTGTCGATTCGAAATCGCTTGGCGCGTGCACGCGTGCGCGCACACGCCATTATCTATTTTCGTATATCGTTAAAACAAACATACACACCGTACTGGATCGTGCGCGAAATTTTTCAAACGAAACGAAAATTCCTTCTCACGTTTTTTGTTCGTTTTCTTTCCTTTCTTTTCTTTTGACTCGCGGCTGTCATGGTTCCCCCGTTTGCTGTATCTAAGCTTTGTGGCGTTAACGTTGAAAAGATCGATAATAATCGCAATAATCAGAACGTTAATAATATTCAATGATAATAGCGGTAGTAGTAATAATAGTAATAATAATCGTAATCTCTAAAAACTAATACCTAACAGTAGTCAAAAAGAAAAATCAACAGCCCTGCTATTACATTCCTAGTACTTAGTACGATCTGCACATCCGCTCATCGTTTTATAATACATCTATATGTATATGTATACGTATGTACAATATGTACCTTGTGTGTACAATACACTTCGATATGTGAAAAGTAAGTACACCTATGGAACTGATTCATAAGCTGTACAATAGTCCTACGTGATAAAAAGAGTACCGACACCTTCGGACACGTTCGTCTAATTCGTTTAGACACGCACAAAGATCGGGCACGTGGAAAAATTAGTTCGAAGGGATACGATTAAAACGAAATGTCACAAGAGAGAAGAGAGAAAAGAAGAGGGGGAGGGGGGGGGGAGGGGGGTGAGGGGGGGGGGGGGGGGAAGAAGGAGGAAGAGGAGGTAGAAGAAGACGAAGAAGAAGAAGCAGGGTAGAAGGACGAGCAAGAAGAAGGACAAGAAAGAAGAGTAAAATAATAAAATAATCACGGTTTAAGGCTAAAGAGAAACCATGACGACTGGGATTATAGGTCCTATCGACACACGCGGTATGCATGTTGCTAAAATGAACTAACGTTTGCGTGTTTCTAATAATAATAATAATAATAGTGGTGGTGGTAGCGGCGGCGGTGGTGGTGGTAGCGTTAGTGGTAGCAGTAGTAGTAATAATAGCGAGACTAATATATAGCTGGGGAAATGTCAGTGGTAAAATGGTAGTGGAGGGAGGATGATAGTATTAGTAGGAGTAGTAGTACTAATAGTGTAGTAGTGGTAGTAATAGTAGTGATGGTAGTAGCAGTAGTAGTAGTCGTGGTAGTAGTAATAGTAGTAGTAGTAGTAGCAGTAGTAACAATAGTAGTAGTAGTAGTAGTAGTAGTAGTAGTAGTAGTAGTAGCAGTAGTAGTGGTAGTAGTAGTAGTAGTAGTAGTAGTAGTAGTAGTAGTAGTAGTAGTAGTAGTAGTAGTATTAGTATTAGTAACGGTAATGTTCCTGTTTTTTTATATTTGTTTGTTTGTAAAAGTAATAGTAGGGTGTCTACCAAACACCTTCGGTAGAGACCAATGTCCTTTAAATTCTGATAGCTACATCGCTCCGTGACATTGCTTTCTTTTTTTTTTATATTTCCTCATTTTGATATCATCAAAATAGTAAACCAATAGTTTAAACATTGTAGTTAATAATTACTATCTATATCACAGATCCAAGTGACTAAACTCCTTTAAAAATATAATATAAATATGTGTATGTGTAATGGTTCGCGCATAATATATATACACACATAGATATATATATATGTATATGTACTCGCAGATGTGATTGGAAAACAGGTAAATCAAGAAGTGCGGAAACTTGGAAAAACTCGCGTAGAAACGTACGCGCGCGCGCGTTAGTTTATGCTAACATCGATATACCACGACAGATTGGTAAAAACAAGGAAAATCGAACGATCGTGGAAACGAACCGATTCGTCGATCGTGTGGTGGCACGTCTCTTTGAACGGTGCTATTTCATTCTCGTTAAAATACGCTTATCAGCGTCCGTATTTAGATAATCCATTAAATGGACCGAGAAGTATGTAAGTGAGATAGACACGTGCAAAACGGTAATCAATTCACAATTGATCCACTGCATTGTTAAAAGATCGAAATGAAAATTAGTCGGTGCGTAAAAATTGTTTAATATCAACGATTAATCGACGATTGTGATTAAGCATCCGTCGTGATCCAGAAAGTGGATGCTCTTTAGGCACTTTGTTCAACCAGCACCATTAAACGAGACGCGATCAAAGAGTCCGCGTTTCGGGCGAATCGTCACTCCGTTCGTGGTAAAAATCGTGATTGCTGGCATAAACTGACTTACTCATTGTTGCGTTGAATGTATTCGGGGTACGGGATGGGAGAGCTGCTTGTAGTATTCGAGTACTGAGCGTAGAGATACAGAGCAGGGTGAAGCCCTGGCGGAGGAATGCCGCGATGCAGTTGCTGCGATTGATGATGCGACTCCGATGAATCTATGGGGGATGACGATATTTGCGGATAAAGTTGGGAGTTGAGGCTATCCAGCGAACTGGAGGAGCCTGTCGTTTGGTAGACACTCTGCGGTGTGGTGTGCTCGTGAGACACTGGTGAATTAAGTGTGAACGGCGAGGACGCCGAGGTGGGACATACTACTTGCTGCGGTGACTGTTGATGTTGCGGTAGGGACTCGGACACGTTGTCGTCTAAACACTAGTTGGTAGTCTGCGGATGTAGCAACGGTAGAGGAAGTTGAAGATTGTTTTGCTTGGCTAAACTCGCGATCTCAGCCGCGATCCCTCCTTTCGAACCTGCTAAGCCGTCCAACGAGGAAGGTCCTTCGCTGTAGCGTAAATCGCAAACAGGACTCTCGAAACCTGTACCTGGAGTGCCACCACCGGTACTCTGGGGCGTAGATGGATTGTGATTCGTACTGCTTTGATTCATGTCACGATGTACTCGATTTTGGTGTCGTATGAGATAACTATCGCGTACAAAGGTACGTCCGCATATGTTACACTCGTACGTGGTACTTGCAGTATGGGTACGGATGTGAATTGCGAATTGACTCTTGGACGTGAATGTGAGAGAACATCTGTCGCACACCAACGGCTTTTCGGCAACGTGACTCCAACGGTGTGCCGTCACGTAGCTTTTCACTGCAAAACGTTTTTGACAAATGTCGCAGGCATACGGCCTTTCTCCTGTATGCACTCGTTTATGAGTATTAAGACTGCTCTTTTGAGTAAACCTTTTCAAGCACAGCTCACATTGGAAAGGTCTTTCTCCTGTGTGCGTCCTCATGTGCACTTCCAAGTATGGTTTCCGACAAAAGCTTGCTTCGCATACCGTACAATGATATGGTTTGTTGCCTGAATGAAGCTTCATATGTACATAGTACGACGAAGCAGAGGATAGCACCTTGCCGCATACCTTACAGGGCTGTGGCTTTGACCGCGAACCCTCTTTGACAGTTTGTTGTCCAGTAGATTGACGGTTTGGAACTTCTTGTTGCACAGTCTGACTCTGCTGTTGTTGACCCTGTTGTTGCGTTTGCTGTTGACTCTGTTGTTGAGTTTGTTGTTGACCCTGTTGCTGACTTATTTGTAACGTAGTCTGTTGCTGGGGTTGTAGGTGACCTTCTTGCTGAGAAAGGTCTTCACGATCATCCGACAAATTCACCATAGAATTTGAACCATCTGAACGGCTCGAAGCAACAGAATAAAACCCCATGGGTTCGCTTTTAATTTGTTGTTCAAACATGGATGTCATTATATCAGTCTGTTGCTGCTGAGCCAGCTGTTGCGATTGTGGCTCCTGCTGCTGCACTGCTTCTTGATGGGGGAGCAGAGTCAGGTTGCGCTTGACAAGCTGCTCATATCCTGCGTACCAATCCACCTGCATGACAGGGAATGTCTATAAATCGCCATTTATGACACTCGTTATGGCGGAAAAATTTTCAACGATGTAGATACACTCTTAATTCCGGTATCATGCATGTCCGACTCTTATATACGCGTGTCAGGTTAGACCAATTGCTTTGACATTTATCTTTGACAAGTGACAGAAGGTAACTGGATGATCAGCTGATTGCATAACTTTTACGCGAACCACTCGAAGACGACACGATGCCGTCGTCAACAGAACGTAACCCAGCAGTGAGCAACACGGGCAACTCTATTTTTAAAAAAGCGACGGAAGAAACGGCGGAATATTTTGACTGCGAAACCGGATTCTTCGTAAGCGCTTCGCAAGTGGGGGTCGCTTTTGCCATAGCCGAGGAAGAAAGCAGCATTTTACGAACCTTTGCTATTGTAGTGGTCCGGGCTAGGGTCGAAAAACGTCACGCCTCATCGAGCGCACGCCTCCCGTTCTCGAGCGGCTTCACGGACAATCGCGAAACATTTCTACGGCCAAATTGTTTTTCTCCGACACAAAATATAAGATGGCTGCTACTATATTTCACGACCGTCACCTATATACACTCGTACAAACACACGCACCTAAGTACCGACCGACGATATTCGTCAACTTTTCTAATTGGCTGCCCTTCTTAAACCGCCAATATTACGCTCTACCACGACCAACATCGCACTTCCAAAACCGCTGATTGGATCGATCTTTCACAAAGCTTTATTCACCTGTTTGATTTTATGCATATTTCATGGACAAACTTTCTCTATATAAAGAACTTTAATCTCTTTCAACGGTTCACCCATTGCGCGTTAACTCAGTGGGTATTTAGCCAAAAAAATATCATAAGAACGTAAAATGTTTACGCAGATATTCCAATCTTTTATCTCGTTTCTATTAAATCGAAAATTTATATCCATCTCGCTGAGCTGAAATACTTCGTTCAAGAATTTCAAATCTAACTAACAACAGACTGAACAAATATATAGATAATACGGTATAGATATGACTCATTTAAAAGTAAAAGTTGTATACTTTGTAATAACAATCATATATATATACATATATATATACCATATATACATATATATATCATATATATATATATAACCAAAATTTAATAAGAAAGAAATAATTGTTTATCAAGTATTAGAATGTTATAAAGTAGTAATTTGAAATACTATTTCTTATTGTTGCATTAATTCGATTTAATAAAGCAACGTCGTAAATACGCGTATCTCGTTTCAAATATTTACGCGTTATATTAAATTAATTGTGCGCAGTATTTTAGTTCACAATACAATTACTAAACGCGCCTTAAGTGACGACATTCTAGGAACTCTTGGGGCCTATCAAATGTAATATTGAACCACTAATAGAGAAACTGCTACTACCTGAATATAATGTTCCTAAAAAAAGCAGGCAACCAACTCGAGAATTTGTATCAAAAGTGTTAAAGAGATAACCCATTTATAAACTTTATAAACATTGCTGCCCTCTAAGTATTTTTCGAAATTCATTAAGAAAATATAAAGTTTAATACAGAAACTAAACAGTGGTGTATCTGATTCCGATATACAAAGTTCAACAGATAGGTACGCTTTATATAATATATAATTCAATAATTTATATGTATATGTATATGTTAGAATATTAGTTCTTTTGATAATATTCCATAATGTTAATAATAATAACCTCTATTCGAAATTAATATATCTCGTACACACCTACTGTAACTTTAAAAAGAAGTATAACCGTTTCAATTTCAGCACAATATAACAGGTGACCATAACTTTTAATTCCTATATTATCGTAAAATAAAATTTGAACTTGATAACAATTTAATTTTAATTTATTGATAAATTCGCTGATTTCTATATGAAACTTCTAGTTCCAAAAATGGCTGTATCGTCAGAAAGCGTAATAAGTCCTGGCTTGAATGATCCAGTAACCAAAGCAGTAGTAGATAATATAATGGGAAATTTACCTACAAAGAAACCCCCTGTTCGATGTGATGATTGTGATCTTTCATTTACCAGTCAAACAGTATTAGATACACATTTACAAGGAGCGCGTCATGCTAAACAGGTTTGTGCAAGTAAAGCAACGAATCGTACTATACTACTATAAGACACTTAAATACAGACACGAAAAGTTGAAGTATGAGGTAACACACATGCAATAAAAAGAATCATTCATGAATTTTAAAACGTATATAAAACAACATCAGATCAGATAGAGACATATGCTTGTTTTACAGATTAGATCCAAAAATATAATGGCATCTCTTGAAGAAACCAAAGTAGCATTTACAAAAGACGAAGAAACAAATGGATTGAAATGCAATGTGTGTAATGTGTGTCTAAACTCAATACAACAACTTCAAACACATTTAAATGGTATATTACAAAGTAAGATTTATTTCATACCTTTGTATGTTTTTAACGTATTAAATAAATTTTATTTTCTATAGGGAGCCGGCACAAAAAGAAAGCTATGAGAGGTAATACACGTTATATGGTACGAAAGCCGCTACCATATGGGCTTAAATGTAGTCGCACTTTGTGTATGGATAAAGTAATAGAAAAGAATGTTGCTGTACTAATTTATTCTTTATTGTTATTTACATTTGCATGCTTAACACTGCTGCTTACTTTTGCTTTCCATTTGTTTTTATGAGCTAATAGAGACTTAATTCTGCCTAAAAGCTTTCATTTGCCAATCAATATGGAAATGCTTGGTGATACTTTCATGTTCGTTATAATTTATACATCATAATTTGGTATTTATTATTAGTTATTTATTTATTATGTTTGTTATATACTTCTACCAAATTGAAATTGTATATTTATTGTTTATTACTGATTTGTCTTTGAGTATATCGCCACAAAATAATAACGTGATAACGAGTTGATTAGTTACATATTATAATTAATAAAATTAACATTGTTTACAAAATAATTTGGCTCCTTTTCAGTTTCACTGTATCCCTTTCAGTAATATATAATGTGCAAATGCATTTTGCTATTTCTTACATTTCTCTTTTACTCCTATCCTTAACTTTCTTCTGTAAAACAATAACTTTGAATAATCCAGTGTTTAAATCATAATAGAATTAAAATCAATTATTAGTTTCTTGTACAAAACCATTTATTAACTACATTTCGTTTATGTTCGATAGCAGGTATAAATTGTAATACCTTTCCCAATTATGTAACACAAATGAAAAATCAAAAATTTTTATGAGAAAATTTACATAAAATAATATATTATAAATACATTTTTTTTATTTTGAAGAGGTAAAATTTGCTACACACATACATATACACATCATTAAAATCTTACGGTGGTCTTTTGTTAATAATGTTTGTATTAATGGTTGCTTTTTCTATGGCATGAATGTAGTGTTCAAGCTGATTTATTATCACATATAACCGCTTCAGCGGTTGTGATACATAGATAGTGTTGATCGCACATTGATGCTTAGGTGGGTGGACTGACAAAGATGTTGGCAGTTCAGTGACATCTGCAACTATGAATATCCAAGAAAACACTGTGTCTAAAGGCGTATCGCTTTCATGCAGCATGTGTAATAAAATCTTCAATTCTCAGATGCAATACAACGTGGTATGTTATCAGTAATAAGGTAAATAAATATTACTAACCTTTTAATGATATAATTTATGTTTAATTGTAGCATATAACATCGAAAAAGCATACTGGTAAATTAAAACAAGCTAGGACTCAAAAGAAAAAAAGATTTTTGCCATATTGGAAAAAACCTAAGCCTGGTGTAAATCCTAAGAATTTCGTTCAATCGCTATCGAACAATTTTGTACCAGGAGGTTTCACGAATCAGACATAGGAAAATAACGTAATAAGATGAATATCTCTATTTTAATACTCATATGAATTATTTAAGTACATGTTTTATTCTTTCCAAGAAGAATAATTCATTCCAAGTAGGATCATGATTCTTTAAACGACGAAATTAATTTGATACTTAAATTTTGAACATTAAGTGACATTCACATATACGAATAAGTAAATACACAATGTTATATATAATTTTGTAATTCACGAACATTGGAGGCTCTGCCACGTTAAGATATAAACTTTTCTCTTTGCATTATTTCTTCAGGATATAATATAAATATACATATAATTGAAACACAATTAGTTCAATTGGAAATCACATGTAAATTTTTGTCAGATGCATTTAATAATTAAGGAAAGTTTTAAAAACAAATTGTACAAAGTGCCGATGTTGCATTAAAAGCTAAGATACGTTTGAAAGATTGACATTGTATTTGATATTAGATAAAATAGCGCAAGAAGGTACCGACGTAATGTATGAATGTATATATGTTCATTTAAAAATGAATGGAAAAATATATAATGTTGTAAGTAATAATAATTAATAATTTTTTATTAATCCTACAACATAAAAATTTTGTTGTCGAAATTCCGTTTTCTTTTCAATGCGTTATGGTAGTTTCAGGCTGAAATTCAGATATACGTAATGTAAACCTAAGTTAACAAGGAAATATTTCATTTATATTATTTTAGCATTACCTGCGTGGTATACTTGCTTAATAAACGACGCATTTCTGCATTCTGTTTTCGTAACGATTGCGTCTCAGCATTTAATCGATGCCTTTCCTTTAGCACTTCATAATACTTTTTAAGACCAATCAATAGATTATCCCATAGTCTTTCTTTATCTTTCGGAAAAATATTCCTATATCGTTCCCAAAAATCAGTTATATCGTCGTCCGTTATGTTACGTGATATCGTGACTTTCTCTTTAATTACTTTTTTATCAGGTGATACCTCTTTCTTAACGAACTCGTATCTTTCCACAAATTCTTTTAACGCACTTGAGACAAATTCAGTTTCAATTGTCAACAAATGGCCTTTATCGCAGGTTAATGATCGTTTTGGTTCGCCATCTGCTACAAGAATAAAAACTAATATACGCAATTGTAGTAACATAATAACAATAATTGTAGTAACAACAATAACAACAAGATTAATAAATAACAGAAGCAAATAGATTGAGTAGTTATTTTGATAAATTGGTAATATTGAGAAAAAATTTGAATAGATCAATTTCAGTTACGCACTGTCAGTAACTTCGATAATGCCTTCAGATACACAAGTCGATACAACTTCTGTATTAACAGGCGGTGTTTCGGTCGAAGGAACGCTTCTATTCATAACAATGTCACTTTCATGACCATCATCGTGTAGTTTTTCACAACAAAGTACTTCTTCCATAGCTGCCACTAACTTGGCTTCTTTCGTATTAAGTGTATCGCTGCCACAAACATCAGAAATAGTGGCTCTGAAATGTTTATTATTGATATATTTTATTACAGTTAACGTCAATTTTATGACTTTCCTTTTAAGATCAACGATATATCACGTACAGGGACGAAGAACTTTCCGTAATTTCTGCAGACTGTCCACAAACACTCGATGTGCTTATAGTTTTAACCGTACACGTGGGACAATATGCATACGGTAAGAAAAAATTCAATAAAAATTGAAGTTCTTCTTCGGCTGTAATTTTTAGAGCCTAAAAATTCAATTATGTTTATAACTAACTTATAACAACACGATAACGATATTATTTATATGGAAAACATCACCTCAAATGCTTTATCCAATCGAATCAATAGCTTATCCTCTTCTGTGTAATCGGAGAGTAAATTCTTCAAAGTGTCTTCGATAAGGTAATCACAGTGTTCGGAAATTAGTTTAAGAATATGATTTAATAAGCGTCGTTCTAAATTAATTTCTTCTAAGATAGTCGTTGGTTTATATGATTTAGATATTGTTTTTCGTTTTTTGGCTTCCTCTTGTTCTTGAACGAAGATCAAAGAACTTTGCAGATCGTCTGATTTTTTAAATAAATCATTCTTTAAGTAAATTTTACCTGCTTTCAAGGCACACATCGCTCCGCAATACGACGGTAATTCTTCCTTTTTCAATAACTTTACCTCCGGTGGTTGCCAATCCATTATTAACAATTGTTCGTGTATAATTCTATCTGCCGTTAAAATCTGAAATATGCAATCACCGAACGAGACTATTCCCATTAATTACACATTGTTATCGTACCTTATCGACTAATTCGTTCGCAGTTTCGATATTCATGTCCCAAATTTGCATGTACTTTTTATCGTTGACGACTGTCAGATGGTTCGACTTTTCTTCCAAGTCTAGTATAGCTGTATGCGACTTTAGTATTTGATTCGTGATCTTTTGAATTTCCGCCCTGGTCGACTCTTCCAGTGCCGTGTAAGTCTTCCTTAAATTATTAATAACATCCTGAAGCCTGAAACGTAAATAGACCCGTTCGGCTCACTCGACTGAAATTATCAGGACGAGTAATTTAACGTTGGCACGCACTTGTTAATTTTTCTTTTCTGTTGATTCTTTACGATAGTATTCTCTTCGTCTCGCCGTTTCAGCACCGCGTAATTATAATCCAATTTCTCGGTATTCATCATACAGAAGGCTTTCATATTCTGTATCTCTTGTTGAAGGTTCTGTATCTCTAACTCAAACATAATCTTTTGTTTCCTAAACTCTTCTTGATGCTGTATCATCGCTCTCTGCATTTCCTCTTCATACTCGCGCATTACCTCCTTCCTTTTTTTCCTCGCGTTGAATGTATCGTCATTGAGCTGCTTAAATAATACATTCCACTTTTCCAAAGAAGATTCCAAAAGTATTTTCCGCTCCATTTCGATGACACTTTCGATCAATTCTACCTCTCGGCGATAAGCTTTGCTCATTATTCGTATCTAAAGAAAACATTTCGCATGTATCGGTTGGAAATGTATAAAACAAAAGGCTTCGAGACGCGTATTACTCACTTGGTTTTCCATCCTTTCGATAAGCAAATCAATCTCCTCGTTCTGTTTATTTACATCCTCGGCGTACTGTAGATCAGCGTTATCAAGTTCTTGTTTCAATTCCGCGATCAACGCGTCCTTCTTCTCTAAGATTTCCAGACACTTGGCATTTTGACTCTCCAACTCTTCGTGAATATCCAGCGGATGTTTCGATGCAAGTATAACAGGCCATTTTTCCGTAATCTCGCGATATTTCTCCGTGCATTTTTTATCTTCCTCCTCGAGTACCTCCAATAATCTTTCTCTCTTCTCTCGCATCTCTTTTCGTCTTTGCAGTTCCTTCGCGTCACTCGCCACTCTGATGCCTGTAACCTACATCACGTGATAAAACATCGTTCGTTAACTCGCGATTCTTACGTCCAAGCAATTATAAGTTATCATCCTAATTGGTTACTTGTTGACTCGAGAGAGTTTCAAGTGTATTTTCTTGAAAAATAATTATTTGCGATTCGAATCTCACATACATACCACTTCATCGCCTTCTGCGGCTAATTTGTCCAAGGCTTCTATGCTATCGAGTATTTGCTTCTCGATAGGAGTTATTTCCTCGATTTCTTCATCTTGATCTTTTATCTGTCTAACATCGGAATAGTGTTAATTCTTTTCACTCTCTGAAGCGGTATCTATGAGATAGATATACTTTTTCTATCTCTGCTATCGGGATTACGAATGAAAAATGTGTGTTCCTCGATATTTCGAAAATTAAAGTTAGATCGTTTATACGCATAGGCTGCGTATCTTTTAACCAACGATTTAACTATATAAGTAGCTTTTCAGTGTATCAATCTGTTCGAAACATATATGAGAGAGATAAAACGTATATCGATTATTTTTCATGCCTGTTTCTACAAATTGTTAATCCTTATGTATGTACATTTTTTAATACATTTTAATATATCAATATATTTGTTAAAGTAAAACGTAAAAAATGTAGATACGTACATCTAGGAATTTTTAATTAAAATCCTCCGGTAATTTCAAGTTTTTAATTTAGATTCTAGTTGTTGTATTTTTAATTTAGACCCTTCAATAATGTTCAAAATTATAAGATTATGTAACATTTCAGCTAATTATGTATATTATGTTCTGTATTTTTAATTAGACTTTGGTTGTCAAATCACCGTAGATGTACAAATGTATGTAAATACACTGCATCATCTGTTCTCATTGTAAGCAGCATGAAAAAATTTTGTGTAATTATGCAAAGATTATTCGCAACTATCGTCCGGCGTTCCTTAAATTTTCTGCGTTTTCATGGCCTTTGTTACATGGCATTGTAGACATAAGAAAATTAAATCAAAATATACTAACCTACAACTATTCCGTTTTACCAGTAAATTTAACCGATGTACGACCAGTTTTAGATTGCTGATCGCAACCGATGCTGCTGCCTAACAGTTTTATGTATTATCTGACATCTAATTAGTTATTTAATGATTAGCCAAATAAGAGGCAACAATTGATTTACAATTCTGCCCACATCTACATACATACGCTCAGAATATATGAAAATACGATCGAGTTCATTGTTATTTATTATCTTTCTTCTACTATCGTTGAAAGAAAATGTATGGTATTAATATATTTACTATATAAGATACTTTTATTGAAATGTTATACGACCCTTACTTATCTCGTGTTTGTATACGTCGTTGTATACGAAGTCTGCGTGCCAACTTCCGCTCGTTTGCATCGTATGATAAAATAGATGGTTCTTCTGTATGTACTGTAATTTCTGAACGTTTATCTTGCAATGACATGTTTCTTTTACTTAGATGCGCGATAATATACGTGAAAAAATATATGACTAAGATTGAAATTAAGAGATTAATACTCATATATCATTACTTCGTATGAATATTAAAAATAGACATACTGCGAAAAAGGTTAGATATTATGGATTTATAAAAACTGATAACCAAAGATTGCAATTACGTGCTTACATAGAATAAACAATTTTGTTTGTTCGATATGAAATTATTTTCCTCGTGCTTATTGTTGGTAGGTAATAAGTTTGTAATATTTATCTTTCCTACAGGTGGCACTGAGTGTACGACTGTAAGATAATTATTAGATTGCTTCATTGGAGGTTGTCGCCACCGTCACTTATGCCGTCTTATGCAATTAAAAAAACAATATGTCTCGATAAATAAAAGATAAATAAAAGATATATATATATAACGCAAACAAAGATATAGTTCTAAAATAATCCAATCGAGGTTCGGTAAATTATACGTCGCAAAATCAAATTGCAAGTATACCAAAATACAAATCCATTGTTATCGACATTTTTCACATTATTCATTCTAACACTTTAATTACTCTTGCAGTATTTAATTTTTGCACTACTGTTTTAGTAATTAAACTACTATCTTGTACAAAATTTAGACTTCAGGAGTTCTTTAATCTACGCTGTTTATTACTATCCATTTGAGGTAAAGAAATATAAAAAAGTAAAATATTTAATATTTTTACACGAATCTCTTATTGTTTCATTGTATTTTATTCGTTTTAGTCATTATAAATATATATTTATATTGAGACATTAAAAATAAGTGAAAGATTTAAGACGTAAATTATATAGAAAAAAATTATAATAAATATATGGTATTACAATGTAAACTCATAAAGTCTTATTTAGCAATATAATTTGTGAAAAGCCCTCATAATATTTTATTGTACTACAATACCATTTACAATTTAATACAGAGAATATCTTTATGTATAGGTATATGGGTACTGTACGTTAGAAGGTGCCCATAAATCACCGGTACAGAACACGCAATAGGCGTTTCTCGTTCAAAGCGTTCTCAACTACAAAACAGTCGTGAAACTGCCTTCGTTTTCGGACGAAGCAATTCGAGTGCGACGGAAATCGCTTTCTCTAGCCTCGATGACGTACTTTAACCGACAAACGGATGTTTGATATTGTCGCCAATAGAGTTAATGTCATACGAACGAACCGTTGCGAAGCATTAAAAGAAGGTACGACACGTAAAAGACAAACGAACGATACGTCTCGTGAATTCGCAGCACTAGATCGACGCCATGAATCTACGACTTCGACGCGATTTTAGCGGAAACAAGATGGAGCATGGCCAGGTCTGGCTCGATGCACTCCGGTGCCTTATACCGCTTCAAAACGCATTATTCCCCTATCTCGATTGAACTTTGAATACGATACTAGCAAAAATAAGTGATAATTCAGTGAAATTAAATATATACGATTAGAAATACAACGCCCAAAGAACGTACATAAATTTTCGATATCATTTTGGTATATCGTCCATTGTATCTGTTTACGATATTTCTCGGTATTCTATGTTTATATGTCTTACACGGTAATTAACGTTATTTATAAAAATTGCATCGCAGCGTGACCTCTATAATTTGTTAAATTAGCGTATTCGAAAGAAATAAAATTCCTCGTTACATCATGTCCCGTTCCATGATTCGTGTCTAAACTTTGCCTGTATCGTAGATAAAATAGCATCGCGATATCAAACAAAATAGAAGTGTGTATACATAAATTTTTTATATCGTAACTCGTATGTATTCTGTATCCAAGGTATTCGTATACAAAGACCGTTCGTGTTTGAACTAGAAAATATTTTAATAGGTTGTACACAGGATCGAACCGACGCGTTTGTTTGATCGTTACTTCCTTGATTAGAGAGCACGTCACAAGAGTTAAGTACTTTTATTTTCGTAATAATCCGATTTTCCGTCTTTATTCTTGGTAGAAAGTACCGATGCCCCGGGTAATTGGCTGCCCCTAAACCGGCCCTGGTGAGAGCGGAATGGAAAGAGAGAAAGAGATAGAGAGCGTGGAACAAAGATGGCGGATGAGTGGCGTCGGCGGAGGAGGCACAAGGTAGGAGGAAGAAGACGAAGAGATTACGGAGTAGGAAGAGAAGAGAAGAGAGGAGAAAAGAGGATAGAGGAGAACACGGGGTGCGGGACGATTCGCCAGTGGAGAATGGGGGAAAAGAGGCGAAGTGAAGAGACGAGAGGAGAGGAAGAGACGGTGAGGGACGACGCGCGGCTCGGGGGTTCGGGTTAGCTCGTTCGACCCGTTATCCCTTCTCTCCTGGAGACCCGAGTTCTCTCTCCCTACCTGTCCTTGCTTCGATTCGAACGAGTCCCTCCAACTCTCTCCCCTACGGGGATGTACGAAAAGTTTCCCCCACCATGGGTACACTTCACCGGCTGGCGTGCGACGATCGCGATTGCAAGTCGCTGCTTTTCGAGGTAGACTCGTTTCGTTCCCCTACGTGGTATCCCCCACCATGCAGCCAACAGCGATACTAGCCAGCGAGCCATACTACGCTCCCGCCACGGTGACGTCACTCTGAGTAGTGTAGTGCAGTGAGAAGGAGCGAAGCCAGCTCCATCCGCGTTACATGGCCCGAGTGAACGAAGCGAGTGCGTTTAAGACGTACATATACAAGCGTGCATCGTAGCGATCGAGTTGCACTAATAGTACCATTAATTTTCTCGATCAATGCACGTTATGTGACACGGCGAGTTGTGTACGATCGCGAGAAAAAATATAGAGGAAACCGCGCCTCGCTTTTACTAACGAAATATATCTGACGTGTTATACCATTAACGAGGTACCAAGCGGTGATGATACAGTGATGTGAAAGAAGCGACTACGCGCGTTAGTGAAGTCATAGAAAAGAAATCAAAGTAAGAGGAAAGAGGAAAAGGAATATAGTGTGTCGTGTGCGCGGTGAAAAGAAAAGAGTTGCACGTTCTAATATTCGCCAGGAAGAAAACATCAACGGTTCTATCCGTTGGTGGATCGATTGTTTTCTTTTTTTTTTTTCAAGTGGGGTTTCACGCGAGAGTTTGGAAGCGTGTCTGGAAAGGCTCTGTTTGTTGATCGGTGTACGATATCAAGAAAACGACGGTTGAAAATCATCAAGGCAGATCGACGCGAGTGTAATAATGCTTGGCAAATATGCGCTGGGATGTATCGCCCGCGCATTGTGCCCGGTGTGCTTAGTGTGACGTGTGATTAACCGCCTTTCTTCATACGCGATTCAGTGGTATACGATGTGGTGTTCGGCGACGGTTCTGATCCTTCTAGCCGTTGCCATCAGTGGTGTCCACTATCGAGGTTCTTCCTCCACTTCTTCGTGGTCGTCGTGGTTGTTGTCGTCGCCGTCGTCGTGGTTGTTGTCGTCACCGTCATCGTCGTCGTCGTCGTTGTCATCGTCATCATCGTTGTCGTGGTTGTCGGCGTCGTTGTCGTGGTTGTCGTCAGCGTACGTAGCGACGCAAAAATTTGATCGCGAAATCTCCGTAGCCACCCTGTTTTGTTGGCCGATCGTTCTACGGCGCTGCCCTGACGACAGCACTCATCGTGCTTGGGGTCACCACCTTCCGGCTAGTGACTAGTGATAATCTGTTTGTTGCCAGTGATTAAATTGGGAGTGTCGAAGTGGGAGGAAGCTCCTTCCTTCGTCGTGGAATACGCGTAACGTAACGGTTTCTTTGCTTCTTGTCGCGTGTGTGTCGCGAGCTACACGCGAGAAAGTTTTTTCTTCTCGATCCAAATAAGAAAAATTGTGCCGTCAAATCCGAATCGATTATTTACTTATTGATTTCGTGGCGAAACGAGCAAACAACGATTCGAAAAGAAAGTCGGCAAAGAGAAAAAGAGAGGTTTTCTTTGGCCGACCTGGTGGCGGCATTGAATATCGGTGGTGTGTGGTGAGAGTGTGCTGTGATTAGCGTCGGGCGAAGTTGTGTGTCGTTGTACAGTGCCGCCAAACGATACCACAACATCCGATCCCAAATGAAGAGTTCGGAGCAAAATGGTTAGAGAGACACGTCACCTGTGGGTTGGAAATCTGCCGGAAAACATCCGAGAGGATCGCATACGAGAGCATTTCAAACGGTAAGCGTATCTTTATTTCCTTTGTATCTTCCTTCTAACAAAGCCTATCTTACATAACTACATATATAATATATGTCTCTATGTACATACGCACTAACAATTCGATTCGACGAAGTCCAAGCCACACCGTTTTGTTCTTTCTACCTATATAGCTAGCTTATAGTTTATATGATAGCGTGCATGGAACTTGGATCTTATTTTTTCGTTTACCTTCTCGACATACCTTTGTGTATCCCTCGATACGAAAGGACAAGAGTCTCGCAACGTTAATGCGAGATTTACGAACCTTCCGGCTCATCGAAATATTTCTTGTTTGCCCATTAATCCTCCAGTCCAGTGTAACGAACTGACCGAAAAAAGAAATACACAGTGATCCTGTGCATACATTTAAGGGGGGGGGGGAGTAGACTGTCTTTGTTGTTACTGCAGTTTGGGCACGGTCAACGATAATTTCACCGAAAATTTGCGACTGTACGGTCGTGCCTTCGTAACGTTTGCCAGGCTTTAGAACGGTCGGTTCTAGCCAAGCCGGAATCTCTAACAACGTTGTATATATGTATATGTATGTACGATATTTCATGGCCGATAAACCAGAGAAATGTCGCGCGAATCTGTTTGTTACTTATTATTTTGTTTACACGTTCGTGTAACAAAGGAGCGGTATTATCTGTTTGATAAAATCGGAATTCAGGAACACGCGTAAGGTGTATTGGCTCGATGTTTTTAACTCTGTACGTAGATCGAGGATCCTGCACGCGTATGTACACACCCACACCTTACGTACACACGCATACACGGCGTGCGTTATACGAAGAAGAGCCTTGGCTCTGTCTCTTCTCTCGTAGCGTGAGCGCGCCGTCATTTGTTTTTTCCCCGAAGTAATAATAGCTGAGGACAGCCATTTTGAGAGCTCGCAGCGGCACGAAGTTATTGTTCGACAGTGGCACTCAAACCGTGGATCCACTAGGCACGCCTTTCGCGCGTCTAGAAAAGAAAGCGCCCGAATAACTTGACAATCTATTACAAGCCATTTCGTTTACTTCCTAATTTCAAAATTATTATTTTATGTTATTACATATCGTCCAACTTTTCCTTTTTATTAGGTTTTACTTAAAAACCATAAAACCTTAAAGTATTTTGTTGAAAGATCGAAGTAAATTTCCGATTTAATGTTTTGACAAATATATTAATAGGTTCTATATGTTATCGTGATTGAAATAAAAAGATTATAATATATAATACCCTATTAGGGAGGACTTATCTTTATTCTTTCAGTTTACCACGATAAACTATCGCACGGACTTGAAAAATTTTCTTTTACCGACTTTTGGTAGTTTTGTCGACTTGAAAAATACTTACTATTTGCGTATTTTGGACCGGGTATCGTTCGTAATTTTATAGATATTCGTTAAATGTACTAAAAAATAATACGGATAATACACACTACGTTTATGAATTGTTTCGGTTGTATCCAGTTTCGTACGGATGTATTTGCTTTATGTTATGCCGTTAAAAATATCCACAACCTTATACGCGCATTTACTACACATATAGAACAATATCGTATAATACACAAAATAAGAATGCACCTGAAATGCAGGCAGAATAGTTAAAGAGCAGAGATCGGAGTAGGAAAACAGAAGTGAAAACTAACGGTGACGTGGCGCAGTGGCGCTCAATTTTCGGATACCCAAAAGCTTGAGATAAGTACAATGTACGTTATTTTACTGTAAATAATTTCACAAAACTGACAAAGTTATTCTTATTATTATCAATTTTGCCACGTACGATCGAACGATTTATTAATTTAGAAAAATAAGTCTTATAAATCGCATTTGATACATTTATTATATTATGTACTACGTACAATACTAGTTGGAACACAATGTAGTACTACGAGTTTTAATTATTTTGCTTAATTATTTATATCAGTATTCATTAAGAATTTTATTTACCAGTTACGTAAACGACGAAAATCGTCTCTATTCATAGTTACATCACGAGTCCTTTCACATTTGGAGGTTGTAACTATTCTAAGATACACAAGATACCCATAAACATTGAAAAAGAAATGTCAAGGATGTTTCTGTAAGTTCATAGTTTCTTTGGGCTCGAACGCATTTTCGAAAGCAGAATATTTAACTTTGTATCGATTAGGTGGCGTGATGTAATATTATCTGACTTCCAGTAGTAAAAGAATAGAAGATATTCCCCTATTTCTAGGGGAAAATGAATTTCTCATGATTTCGTTATGGATTCTAGTCCTGTTGTGCTATTAATTTTTCTTTTCTAAATGCACACGTTGTTGAATATTTATATTACTAGCGATGCTGCATTTTACATCCTAGCTGGTGATACATACATACTTGGTCTGTTCACTAGCTCTGTTCTTATGGTCGTCTACCATGCGTTATAGCCTTTAAGGTTCGTCCTTAAAATGGCGGGTGGCGTCGTTACGCCGTTGACCGCCTGTTTCTCTAAACGTGCGATAGACAATGGAATAATATATGTTAGAATATAATTCCGAATGTCTTTTCTTTTTTATACTTCAATGTTAAAATGTGTATGCGACCATAGTTTTATTATCGCATTATTTATAATTTTTCATTTTATTTGTAATGTTAGTTTCTTTTTCCACGATGATCTTATAAGAGATATATTTATAAGTGTACGTAGAGAAGTATGTCTTTTTTGTTCTATAATATGATTTTTCCGATAGCTAAAAATTGATTTTATGTTTGTTGATTTCATGTATGATTTTATGTTTATATTTTATGGTTAAGAATATGCAGGAAATAAAAACTTTATATGTGAGAAATAATTAAAAATTTTAATATTCAGTGTTCACAAGGATTTATTTTCTTCTGAATTTTATACCTCGTGTGACTGTAACTCCAGACGAGCTTGATATCTCACAGAAAAACACGAAGTAGATTCATGTTTTCGCTATGATATGTGATTACTCGAGGTACTTTCCGTTATTAAACGACTCCAAATACTTGTATTAAATATTTTCGTGTACATGTACAATTAGCTGCATGTATGTAATAATCACTTTAAATTTTATCTCATCCATTTTTCGCAACGTAAGTTTTATGAGCTCTTTTTTAACTATCCGTTACAACACCAATTTAGGACAACACCAACGAAAATGAGAAATCTAGCAGATCTTAAGCATGCTTGTTACCCTACGTGGACCGTGCATGAAGTCAGAGATCTCGATTCTGAAAATGTGTTTTGAAACGCACATCCGGTACATTCTTATGCGCACGGCATGTGCATCGTATTCGTGTAATGCGTTCTACCTACTTACCGAAACGTAAATTTCCCTCTTATATACACGCATGGCACATGATATACCTTCGAATTTCTGTGCGTTCGCTATAAGCGAGATATAACTGTATCCATCGAGTGTGCATACGTATATATGGTTGTGCACAAGTAATATGCACACGTATCGCGTTTGCAATTTATGGTCACACGGAGATAAGAGTATGCGCAGCATTCATATACATGTATATGTATATACGCACTCAACCTGCGAGATCGTGTGCACGTTAGATTATATTTACAATTTGTATGTGCGCGCTCGCGCGTATGTATACATGCATGATGGGTCGATGTATTGACAAAGTGTTTGAGAATGTGTGCGCGCGCGCACGCGTACATGTATGTATGTATGTGGGGGTTGCCGGCGTATTTTGTTATATTGATCGCGCGTGGTCGACCACCTCCCCTTCTCCAGCGCAACTCTGCCCCATCTCTCCCCACCCCACACCGTACCGCGCCCCTGCACCCCATGCTCACCCCACCTTTCCTCTGCGCCTCGTCCTCGTGTTCCACTCGACGTCACCCATCCGAAAACCTTCGACTCTCCGACAACCTCCAGTCACACGTATTTTCATGTGTTAGTGCACCTATGATGATATACGACGATCTGTCACAAATATGTATCCGAGTTATATATCCTCTATGTACACGGGGATTCGGTTTTCTGTATGAGTGTTTGTTCCTTATAGCAGCAATCGAATTCCTTGTTTCTTCGGCGGACCGTTCCTTAAGACTTAAGTAAATCATGTATTTTACATGATATCCCGAAAACGAATTGTTTGTCGTGAAACGCACGAGACGTGATTCGTCGATAATGCAGATAATTAATAGGATCGATATAAATTCAGAATATACTTGGTATATAGCGGGGTATATTTTAGATAATTTTTTATTTAGTTAAACCGAAGTTTCTTTCAAAAAAAAAAGTAACGTGAAAGATTCAACGCTCCACTCGATATCAACTCCTACGTACTTACATAAATGTATACACGAGGTCGAAGATCGAACAATTAATCGGAACGTTCTCTTGACGCATTGCGCCGTTGAGACGTGGTTAATTGCATTCTGAATTCCATAATATAATCATGTTGACGCTAAGAAAATCTCATTTTTTTACTTTATCATGTTCTCGTTGTATATATTTAATTTCTGTTATATTTTCTCGCATTACTACAACTTTATACACGTACAAGTGTTTTCTGATTTATTTTAATCTTCATTAAGGAGATAATCATTTCGATCATTTTCGTTTTTTTATATGAAACGCGTGGCGTTTCTTTTGCAATGATTGCTTTAATATTCGCGTGTAAACTGTCGATAGGCATTCGTGCTAAAGACAGTGCCACAAAACTATAACATAATTTTTCCTAGATTCGTGATGTTCTGCCGTAAACGAATTTTAAGATTTCAAATATTGAGGTCTTCTTGATGAACACCTGCACGAAGAAGTCGATACCGCCAAATTTCTTCATCCGTCGACCCTGTTACGGTATCTGGCAAGCGGCCGGCATTGCGTTTCAAACCGAAACGACTACGTTGCCTTCTCCTTCGTGTCTCGGAGCGTGTCTCTCGTTTCGCGTCGTTGCCACGTCTGTACCGGTCGTTTACGTGTTGTTGGCCTGGCAACGTCGCATCCTTTACCCTCTTGCACACTAAAGCGACTGAGTTGG